TAACTATTTTCTCGCCCATAACAATAATTTTATATAGTTACATTCAGATTCCCCCCCCCAATGCTTTGAGTAGGTACAGAATATTACAAAATGTTAAATGAGATTAATAAACAATAACATTAAATCCTATACGGAATTTATAAAAACCGCCGCACGAATAATATGCCACACCCCGCATGGCGCTATTTTCGTATAGTACATCAAAAATCGTAATTAATATTATATTACACAGGATGCATTGTATCAAACTTCAGCCCTATACAATTGTAAAGTTAAAAAAGATCTACCTTCCGCAAAAACATGGTAAAGCTCATATTATAGTGAAACTCAACCGAAATTGAATTACTTCAATCCGCCTGGAAAAAAAATTCTAATTCCCAAATTAGAAATCATTTGATCTAGATGGATTCGCTAAAAGTATCCAAAAGTACCGAGAAAAAGATATACGTTTAGTTTGTTTATATAATATATATGTAGGTATGTACAATAGACAAGATACATTGCAATAGTCTCTATTTCAGCAGAAAATTCGACCAAAAAATAATTATATTTTTACTGACCTAAATAAAATGTGTACATATAGTGCATTTTAAATACTCATAATTAAATTTTTACTTTTAACTGCGGTATTTTTAAAGTTATAAAAATGTTAAAAATTTAATTAACACAATTAAATACTGTTTAATATTAAAATATAATTTAACGAAAATCCCGCTCATTTATAATATATACATTTTTAGAATATAATAATATAATAAAAGTTCGAAAATCGAATATTCATGTCGGTTCTAATTAGCATACCTATTGAACTGTATATCTGAGTGTCTTTAAAAATTGAATAATTTTTAGCTCCCAAAGGAATGTTAATTATAAATATGCTTTCGAGCGAAAAAATTAGAGAGGAGAATTTATTCAGTAAGAAAACGAAAATCATTAAATCAAAATATTAAACTAAATTTTTTTTAACACTCTAAAAAATATTAAGGATACATTTTTTTTATTATCCAGTAATTTCTTCGAAATATTTTAAGTGAATTTAATTTTAATTTTTTTGTTTAACCTTTACTTTTACATTATTTTTAAATTTATAGCCTAGCTTCGTATAGTTAGCTAAAATGAGTATATGCTTTGGATTCTAAAATTTTAACCACTTCTCTTTTAAACACATATTCGAATAGAGAATACTTGTGAATAAATTACTTGAAGTGACACAAGTCTGAGTAGAATATTTTTTAAAGTGGTTTTGAAAAGTTATGCTATATTTGTGGTACACGTATTTCACGTATAGGTAAAACATTTCCCACTACGCTCAGAATCTAAATGGACAATTTTAACAAAACTTGTTGAACACTTGGACTTTTTATAATAATCTACTATATTTAACTCGACTTTATGCCTGTAAATAGGTGGAATCTGACGATTGATTTTTTACGCTCTTCCTGTGATCTGATTAATTTGACATTTTGCATGTACTCATATTTTCAACGACAACACAATAATCAAGAAATAAATTTTTCGTTTCAAAGAATGTAGAAAATTGTTTTTCATTGTGTATGATTAGAAATAATAAAAACTAAAAAGAGCTAATACTGAAAACGAGTGCGATCACTGTTGTAGGTGGGTAGTGAGGAAGGTGGGATACATATAATTATTTAATTTATACCTGTAACCATTGATAAACCATTAATAACTAAAAACGATTCAGAGCGAAGTTCCGTTATATATCTTTCGAAAAACTATAATATTTACAAAATCGTCAACATTTTACATTAAACATAATTTCATCTATATTTTAGATTCTGAGTGAAGTGAAGAAACCAATTAGATTAAAAATTCATAGCAAAAGATCCCTTGATGTTGTTATATTGGAACAATATTAACTGTAGAAAACAAACCGTAAAAATGATAACGCCGCGGCGTGCCGCAAATTTTTATTATTTTACGTACAATTTTTAGTTGGTTTTACCCAATTTTTCTGAAAATCTCTTGAAAAACAAAAAAGTGCAAGACATCCTTAATGCACCAACCAGAGAAAATTATCATTTAGAAAAAGTCGTATAATCTATACTTTAAAGCAAGTTTTCTGCTAGAAAAATTGTTCACAGAAACAAAAAATTAAAAAATATAAATACTAAAACCGATCTAAAATGAAAAATATATCAATTGATTTACTAACGCATGACATCTCACTACAAAGTATAAATTTGTTAAGACTTAAAGTTTGAACAAAAAAAATATTTACCTTTTCCAGATAAGGTAAAGTTTTTAAAACGTAACCATTTTTGAGCTATTTATATCTATTTTAATTTTACGAGGTCTTTTATGTAATTTTTATTCGGTAGATACTCTGTGTATAAAATTATAAGACCAAACAGAAATGCTTGAATGTTGAATAGGAGGTTCATTACAAGTCGTACTTTGTGTTCAAAACAAAAAAAAGTTAAGTGTAATGTAGAATTTTTGCATAAGAATTTTAATATACAAACTTTGACGAAAGTAATTAATGTTATAGCATTTCAAAACATGCATAAACGAACTCCACTCAGAATCGTTTTTCGTTAGCAATTTTTTCGTACAAATATACATTAAAATCCTCTATATCCTACTTTCCCAACTTCTCACCTACAACAGTTGCCCATCGTGTGAAGTATTTTTTTTTATCTATTTCTGTTAATTAACACTAATGGTTATTTCAAAATTAAATGATAAAATATGTATTACCTTATGCTTATGCTAATTTAGTACATACATCATCGGTTAAACCAAAAAAACTTGTTGATATAATCGAATTTTTTTCATCCTCATCTTCGGGAGGCATTGCAATAAATTATACAATAATTATTGCGAACACAATATTCCTACTGGTTTACCAATGAGTATAATAATTATAAACGGTTTCAAATATATTATGAAACGAAAGATATTGAATGCAGCGGAGTTATTATTTTGTGTGCGTAATACGAAGAATCTGTACTACAGGAAAAAAAAACAGTAAAAACCCATACCTACCTGTTTTCCTGTTAATATTCCACGTCACACTATTTAAAAAAAAACTATTACATATTATAAATTATTATATTATTTTAAATTGTTGTTGTAAAGTATTATATACGATATAATTATAGTGATGTTAACCAATCCTTTATAATGATTGCAATACCGCATTTCCATTATATGAACAGGTATCTATCTACTAAATTATAATTTACGTTTTAAACATGATCAAAATATCAAATATCCTGTACCTAATATTAATCGAATTATTACGAAATGTAGAAAATGATAATAGTAATGTTTAATTAACGAACAATCCGTTTTTAGGGTTTCGTATCGAAAATGACAATAACTGAACACTTGTTATGATTTCGCCACGTCCATCCGTAAGTTATAGACCTTTAACTCTTCCATTTTCCAACCAGTTTTGATGAAATTCTAGGGAATTCAGGAAGGTATTTTATTTTGATCTATCTGATAAAGTGTAGTTTAAAAAGTTACTTCGCACGATGGGTGGGCTAATGTTGTTGGTGAGAAGTTTGGATGGTAGGAAATAGAGGAGAATTTAATGGATATCTGTAGGCAACGATTAATCATTGCTATTGAAAAACTATTCTGAGCGAAGTTCAGTTATAAATGTTTTGAAAGGCCATAAAATTAACGATTTAAAAATAATACATTTTGTACATTTTCTAATTTTTCCTACGTTTTTGAGCACAAAGTATGACTTTATAATGAACCTCCTGTTAAACTTTTAAGTATTCCTGTCAAGTCTAAACATTTTATCTACAGAAAACTTACTGATTAAAAATTACGTACAAAACTTGAGAAATTAAAATGTCTATAAATAACTCATAAATGACAAAAATGTTTTTACATTTTTACCAAATCTATAATTCAAGGCTCTATGAATATTTTTAACTGCATCACCACAAAAATAAAATTAAAAATTACCTATACATTTTGTACATTTTCCCATTTTTCCTAATTATTATGAAAAACACGTAGGAAATTAATAAATTACCTCTATAAAGTACCTACCAAATAAAATTTACTTCTACTAAAAATTGAGTGACAATCTTTTATACATACAACTAAGGAAGGACAAATATTATATTTTTAGCTCAACAAAAATCTTTTAAAATTTAATAAAAGTTTTAAATAAGATAATTGTTTAAAAGAATTATATGTCAAGATACATAAGCTGCTAAAATCAACAATAATTAATATTTTATTTTCACTCTAATTTTCCCACAGTGAAAATGAAAATTCTAAACAAGTTCAAGAAAGTAGAGTGTTTTAAACACCTTGTAAACAAATATTATATTGAACAGTATATTACATTCACCTTATAGCTTATATTACCTAGCTATAATATTATGTATATAAAAATAAGCACCTAATACTTCTCAAATTTACTACTTCTAATTGATGCGTTTACGACACGAACTTAGTCGGTTTTTCGATATTTGTTGATATTATATTTTTCAAATATAATTATTTGAAAAACTATTTGAGAAATTGAAAAATCATCACTACAAGTATTTTAAAATACTAATATAATATTATGGTATACTATTACTAGGTTCTCCGAAACATTAGTTTAAGCTAATATGGTCAATATTAATAGTAAAGAAGTGGACTGTAATGCAAGTTTGCTTTTTTTTCTTATTAAGTAAAAATAATAGTTACTTGTTCAACCTATAAATTACTGTTATTTACAATGATAAAACAATTATTCACCTCTAAATTTATTTCTAGAAATTAACACAATGCTATTAGAGAAAATATATTTTTATGAAAACAGTTCCTTACAACTTATGCAAGTACTATAAATTAATTTATATTGATCAATTTAAATAATAATTTAATTAATTATTATTAATAATTACGTTAATTTCAATAGATACTTAAATTAACGTAGTTCTCTAGTATCTATATCGTAATACGATTAACATGGCTCAATGCAATATAAATAAATGTATGTTTCATACAAACCAAGGAGGGAGTACTATGCCAAATGACTGAGCAACTTGTGATATAAATACGAGTCGAAATCACGGTACGTTTAATGTTCGTTCGTCAAACCAAACATACCGTGCTACAAACAAAATTTTCATCTCCTATCAAACTTATCGAATCCACCGGTCCTTAAGCGGAATTTATTTTGAATTTAATTCATAAAAGAGTTTAAACATGCAGTTATTAAAATTATTTTCTGTTTTCTTATTATTTTGTTTATCTTTGATTTCTGTGACAACCGCATGTGTGGGACACGACGGAGTATGTTCCGGTGCTAACGGTAGCCAAGGAAATTGTTGTTCCGGAATGCATTGTCAAAAGAATGATCCAAGCTGGGCCAAAGGTAGATGCTACTACAATCCAGGAAAATAAAAATGAAGAAAATACAACGTAAAATCAATCGTTTCTATATCAAATGTTTACCACAATATCCAAAATTAACATAAAAATGTTCTATCTTATGTGTAAAAAAAAATTATAATGAATTTTTAATCGTGTCATATTATATAATATAAAAAAAAATTGTTTAAAAATAAATACTACTTATAACTTATTATAGCTTACAAACTGTGGTTTTAAGGGTTTTGTGCCCATAACACGCGTTTTTCCATTATATAAACAAGATATATATAAGTTGTACGTATGTTATGATACTATTTTCAACATTATATTAATATAACAATATTATAAATATCACCAATAAAAACAAAATATGTCCGTAAAAATATTCTTATTCATTTATCAACAAACGATTTATTTACCTTTTTATAGATACGAGTACATAGACCCAACAAGAAAACAACTAGGTAATTGTCATCAGGTGATACAATGACTGAATGTTATAATTTTGAAACAAAAAGTTAAAAATCTACAAAAATTAAATAATTACTTTCAATCATCATGTTTACAACTATCTTTTATGATAGTATATGATCAGAGGTAACTGTTAAAGTTAAAATTAAATAAATTGACTAATAATAGAGGCAGTTCAAAAAATTAAATTAAACTATTAATAGATCCGGAATATATTCTAATTGTATTACCTATCGTGATTGCTTTAGTCGAAATAAAGTAGGTACCTATTGCACATAGTATAACAATAATAAAGCTGTATAAATAGATAGTACCTATTTATGCATAAAAAAAAAAATCTTTTGTACTTGTATTCTTATAACGAAATCCTCTCTGTGAGCTAGCAGTGGTAATACAACCGTGTGTATATTTCCGTATATATATACGAAGGTAGTCCTTATGTTGCCAATTTCAAAATTTCCTTCGGGATACCCGCCTTTCTTGAACCGTATAATAAAAAGAACCATCCTCAAAATTTGAAGCCATTAAGATCAAGTATATTTAATGGAGGCAACGGCGTTTTGAAAGGCCGTAATATTTACGATTTGAAAATAATACATTTCGTTCATTCCGTTTTTTAAACGGTTTTTCGCATTTATTATGAAAACTCCTCGGGAAATCAAAAAATTATTTTCTTAAAGAACTACTCCAGTCAGATTTACTTAGTGAAAAAGTGCTTTACTTGAAAATAGAAGAAATTGCTGATAGTAAAGTTTTTCATGGATAAAAAAAAAATAAACATCATTGTAGAACCAAAACATTCTTTGATGAGCTCAGAATCTAAAATCTCGGAGAGTTAATTTTTATTCATAACTAACTTATTAATACCTATACTATGTATACATATATATATATATATATATATTATTTATATACAAAGGTACTGCTAATGTTAAAAATAAGATATAAAATGTTCATTCGGTAGAACCAATTTCATGCTGTCAGTTTTAATATTAGACGAATCCGGCCTATTATCGAACTTAAAAGTAAACAATTATTTGCTTTTAAATGAAATGTAAAGATTTTTAAATTATAATATTTTATATGCGTGTATTGCTTAAAAATTAAAATCAAGAAAAAAACTAACGTACAAACACAAATAATATTTTTTTCTAAATATGTTTGATTAAGGGCGTAATGATGAATGTATTAGTTTTACAATGATTTTTATTTTTTTAAACTGTGTACACAATTTCTCCTAAAAAACCTAATCCGATGTATCAAATTGTATCTAGTTGGTACATTTTAAGATCATTTTTGATTTTCCAAGAGAGAAATAAGAGAGGTTAACGTGAGGCCATAATATTTGTTAACTAATAACTAATAACTACATTTCGTACAATTACAGTTTTTCCCAAATATTATGAAAATTAATTGAAAAATCAAAAAATTACCTCCCTAAGTTACCCTAAGTTAATGGAGATAAATTCCTTTCAGAAAATAAGCTACACTTAATACATCAGAGCAAAATTTCTAGTAGATAAGTTTGCAAAACAAATTGAGAAATATATTTTGCAAGATTAAAATATTCAGAGGGAGCGAAGGCTTGGGTCTCTAAGTACATCTGAATTACATATTTTTTTTCTTGTTTCATATTTTTAAGTAAATTACAACAAACAACAAAATTGAAAAATAATAAAAGCATAATTTCGTAAATTTCCCGTTTTTCTTGCGCTGTATTTTGGTTTTTCCCAGATATTATCAAAACCACTTGGAAAATTAAAAAATGATCTCCTAAAAGTACCATCTGGACAATATTCTCTTTCAGAAATGGTGCCGCGCGTACATATCTGAGTAAAACTTCTGATAGAACTTTCGTACAGAGTATATATAAAAGAAAAAGAAAAAAATAAACATCTAAGTAAAACCAATACATTCTACGTTACACTCAGAATCTAAAATATAAAACCATGTCTCTCCTATGAAATATCAGTTATGATATTTCATAGTTGACCAGAAATTTTTGTTTAAAGGTACTTCTTTGAGCGTGACAATCGAATTAACTAATAAGAACTGTTTTATCTATTTTTAGATTCTGTTCTGAGTGAAACGTTTTACAAAGATGTTTTTTTTTTTTTTTTGTGGACAACTTTTCTATCAGAATACTTACTCCGGTTTTTACGTGTAAGTAATTTTTCGATTCTATCACGAGTCTTCTCATCAAATGCGAAAAACGGAAAAATGTACAAAATATATTTGTATAATATTACGATTTTTTTTTTTTTAGGGGCAACTTTTCTAGCAATTTTATTCAACTTTTAATAATAGCAATTTTTCTAAAAGAAAATTGCACCAGGGAAGTACTTTAAAAAAGTCGATTATCGATTTTCTCCGGAATTTTCTCAACAAATATGAAAAACTAAGAAAAACCATGGGGAAATTTGGGAAAACGTAGGAAAACCAGGGATATCTAAACAACATTAAACAAATATTATTAAATAAAATATATAGAGCCTATTTAATTATTTTACGATAATATGACATATATATTGTTGACAAAATAGCTTCACTATCCACTGAACTCCGTTCATAATTGTTTTTTCGTAAGCAATGGTTTATCGTTGCTTACAGGTACACATTAAATTACCTATAACAGTGGCTGCACCCGTCTCCATTATCCTAGGATGTCTTTTTAATACGTAAATCAACAAAAATAACTAGATTTTAGTTTTAAGATCTGGATTTCGAGACATATTATGTGTTATTCTAAAATATATTCTACATGTGTGCCAAATTTCATCCAAGTCCAGTTATTTTGGTGTGATTAAGTTAAAAACCAAACTTTCTCATTTATAATATTAGTAGGTTGTTAATTTAGAGAAAAATAAAATTGATGATGCAAATCGTTCCTGTCGCGTATAAATAATTTGCTCTCAAAACCATGAAAACATAATAGTTTATCGTTTAACAATATTCCAAATAAAAGATGCACCTAATAATATATTGCAGTATTAATATTTTTCGTTGAGACCGAAATTTATTATATCCTTTAACGTCATGTTACACTCCAACGGATTGAATAATGAAATATTATGAAAAATTCAAGAAACGGTACCTAGGTAACTGTAATATTATTTTCATAATAACGTTGTTAGAGGTACGGGGTTGCTAGGAAACTATGGTTTTTTAGAGGTGATATACTTTACATACTTAAAGGTTTTTTTTCGTCATACAACGTTAAGAAATAATAAGGAAAACGACAAAGTGGCCATTTGCCAATCTCACTTATACATTGTTGCATATTTTGTTGCATATTTAATGCGACGCTATTAGGGTTTAAGATGTTTTTTACAATTTCACTAAAACTGCTTGAGAGAAACAAATTTTACACCACCATTTATATACTTACGCTCAGAGTAAATTTCCCTATAAATCTAATTCATAAATATAATTATCTTAAAATAATCCATCGTATAAACAATATAGGTATAGGATATTTTATTTGCGCTCCCTTTAAGAAAGACACAAAATAAACACACTGCAGACCATAAAATCAGCAAATTTTATGGTAGGTAACACAATATAATTTTATCGTCAACGTTATTATTATATACTACGTAAACATAATATTATAACAGCAATATTTATTATATTAATCAATGTTACCCCGGCTGAAAGCGATCGTGTTTCAATAATAATATTCACTTTACGAGACCCTGGACAGTTCTTCTCCGTGATAACAGAAATACAAAAATCATTCGTTCGGAGAACAGAAGTAGGTGTCTGTACGTGGTTTCGCATAACAAATCGATAATTATTTTTGATTTAGTTCCGATATGAGCGAGCGAATGGAGGTAACCATAGTCTCGAGACGAAGCAATATTGAAATATTTGAACGACTTTTTCCTTAATAAGTAGGTATACGCGCATAAATGAGAAGAACTGAACCCATTCCGAAATGTATACCAGTTTTAATAATTTTAAAAACTTGTTAGCCCTCGATATATTATATTTTATTAGTTTTTAATGTAATAATTGTTGAGTTGTAATTATATTTTTCTCAATTTCTTATAATTCAGCTGATTATTACTTTACTTTATGACGGTTATTGAGTTTTAAATGATTTTAATCGGAGTAAATATATGTTTTAAATTACTTATATCTTGAATGCTGGTTAGCGACTATTTTCTACGACAGTTTTCATTTTGTGAAATCCAAAAGTCATAAAAATATTTAAAAGGACGTAATGATCCTGTACAGCATTTCAAAGTATTTATATTTAATAGACAGAGCAAAAATTAACTTAAGCAGGTGCGGCTTCGGTAGACTAAAACCTGTTTTAATATATAATTAATGTCATACTTCTCTTAAGTTTATATTCCCTTGCGGTTTTTACGTCGACTTTTACTGTCACCTAGCTCGTTTGCACTCTAAACGTTTTAGCGTGTTTAATTTTCCTTTAAGTACGAATAATCGCATTTATTATTTCGATTAAATAATTCAATTTCTCCTCCAATAACGTAAGCCATCGTTTCATTACAGCGCACTGAACTCAATAATAATAATATTACGTAATCAAAGAATATTATTTTATTATCTATGCGTATTTATTTAAACACTCGGAAGAAATAATAGCACTTAGCGTGTTCCTTAAAAAAAAAATTCAAATTTCTATGAAATACTTAATTTTTCCAAAATTATAGTACTATAGTGAGGGATTAAATATACCCTCTACACTTTGTCCAATTTCTCTACTCTTAAAATAATATAAATCAAATATAATTCGGTAACTAACTTAACTTTATATCTAGTTAAATTCAGTGTACATTCGTCTAATATTTTAAATTTAAAATAAGAACTGTCATAAAGAGAAAAAGTTATTTTAACACTTGATGACAGAGACCGTGTTCTAAATTTTAAATATGAGAAAGAATAAAAATGTCAAATGATTAACGATTACTATATCATAGAAAATATCGTAAATTATCATAACTTTATCGTGATAAATTATTCTTGATAATAGAAACCGTGGTTAGGGTGTAAGGTTGCCAACAATCTGTTGGCGCGAAGTTCTCGTCAACGTCTTTATATTTTATTTTTGTCATAGGTAAAAGAAAATAAGAAAAACTGGTTTTAAGTACACTGTAAGTATACAGTGTACTGACTATATAGTAACATATTACGTTCGTGTGGCATGTATTTTAGTTTTTGTTTATCTCTGGAACACAATAATACACCGTACCATTTACTTTATAAAACACAAACTCACGCGCTATGAATAGTTAATACTAAAACCGCTCTCTTACAAAATACTTATCGTTGAAACGTTATTTTTTTAAATTGCTTTTACTAATCTAAAATTCAGAATCGAAACCACACGTCTTTCCGGATTTTCGAACAGAATTCTCTTATTTGTCTGTTAATAAAAACAAAAAAGAAAAAAAAATAATTTCGACGATTTTCTAATAGCGAGCACTTAAGTATTAAATATTTTACTCATTTCAAAGAAACGAACCGATATTGATTTGGCTATACCGGGAAGGTTCTCGGTGAGAGCAATGTCAGCTGCACGGGGGTCAGTACTTTCTAGACGAGGTAGAATTTTTAAAACATTCTAGCATTTTTTGAAATATTTGTAGCTATTTGACATTTTCAAGTTTTGAATTTATATTTATATAGATAAAAAAAATATAACTTATTATTATCGGCATTTAAATTCAAATTTAATTTGAATTGATTAAAACCACGCATAATTATAGTTCATTTTGTAGTTACAAATCGGTACAATTTTCAATTTAAGTTTATCAAAACATGAAAAACTGAATTTCACTAGAGATAGTTTTTCATTGACTTTTGATTTATTTCAGCGTACAATTATGAATTAAATTATCCTATTAATAAATATATTATAAATTATACTACCTTTCAAACTTCCCACCCACAACAGTAGCTTACCCATGGAGCAATAACCTGTACGATAAATGTAGCGACAATGTATACAAAACAATCACAATATACTGGCTTTTCCCCTTGTAGCCAAAGTAACTCAGATACCAAACTATATAAAAATATCGTCATTTGTTGTTAGTTTTTGCCAAATCTGTTAGGAATCTAGACATTTGTTTCAATTAAAGTACCATCGGTTAAAAAACCAACATCTTGAAAATTTTAAGCATTTTTACTTAGATACTGAAAAAGGTTTTTCCGAAAACAAAATATTTCTTGGTAGAACTATAAGAGCTTCTTCGCTGCATTCAAAGTTTAAAATTTTTAAAAATGATAGTATAACTAAAAAATACCAATATTTGTTTTATTGGAAATGGAAAATAACTACCTACCTAGATACTTAAAATACTATTTGTATACACTTTACTACACGCAGGTGGTATATGACGTTCTTTAGAGAATATAGAATATACGCGTGAGGGCAAGGGGAGTAAACTGAATATGTCAATGGCAAAAGGAGGAGAATTTTGGTAGTCCCGCAGGATCTCATGTCTAACGCGCACACACATTAGGCAACGCACGCGCAAGTCTCAATAGTTGTACAAGAGCGCCAAAATCTTTCGTCGGACGTCTATAAAAAAATGAAAAAATAAAAACAAAATAGAAAAAGAAAGAGAAAAAAACTCTCCAGGGAATCGCCAAACCTTCGCCCCTGTTCGGTGAGTTTAGGAGACTCTCACGGGAAAAACATCGAAACGGATTGCTAGATGTGACTCGTAAATTATAATTTACTTACTATAATACGCAATAATAATAGTAAAATGTATATAGTTGTACAAACGTCAAAAAATACGGCATGAACATAAAGGCCCAATTTCAATTTTCAACTTAAGAAAGGAGTATTTTTTCAGTTACTTTAAGTATTGGAAGGAAAGCAATCCGCCAAGTGCGTTTTGTTGTATTACGATGTTTGACTTATATGATGGGGACTTCGAGAAACTAGAATATTATACCATTTAAACCTACGAGTTGAAGCCAACCCCATTCCTTAGATGAA